AGGTTCTCCGGCTTCCTCCATAGTTCAAAACATGTTGAGGTTAATTGGTGATTCTAAATTGTCCATAGGTGTGAATGTGAGTGTGCTTGGTTGTCCGTCTCTAAGTGTAGCCATGTGATAGACTGGTGACCTGTCCAGGGTGTCCCCACAAAATGGTGATTACATCCCATGGCTACATCTTTTATATACAGTCTGTGACTTGGTTATAACGTCTCACTGGATCTGAATAAATCAACAATCGTAACCAGAACATCAGTGTTAAGTTAATGTGTGAGACTGTAAAGACGATTCTATACTCTGTCAAATATGGCCTCCATGTGTGAGTCAGTATTACAGCTCTGATATGGGCTTGACAGAACCCTGAGCTGATTTGATCTATTAAACAGTTGCTTTCTATTTAAAACAGAATCGTGGTGATTGTAAGGGGAGGAGTGACTTTTTTCCTCTGTCATGTGCTGTCTCTATTTCTGGAGTCTTGTTCACTTCACAATATGCAGCCCTCCGGATGGAGCTTTATCAAATCAAGATGGTTGTTGTTGAAATAGAGCAAACTGCTGTCAGAAGGCAGTAGAAACTAGAATTCCTGAAACATCTTTTGTTGGTTATTGTTTACTCTGATTTACGGCCTCAGTTGAACTCTTACCAAAGTTCACTCACTCACTGACAACATGACAATTCCCGAAAATGCCACTAATCGCATCAATGTAGTACAAAAACAGCTAAGAGATAAAGCTGGTAGTATCTTCTGTAATCTTAAAACATCTGTATAGTTTCTGATCTCAATTAGCAACATGCAAGTGTAGCTCACAGACTCAGATAAACACTTCTTGAAAACATATGCACTATTTCAGATCAACAACCTTTGACTGAGATTGTGCGAGAGTTTCTGCAATGTTTCAGCATTTACCAGCTAAGGAACCACAGAAGTTGGTGGAGACCAACAACAGAGATAAAAGGAGTTTTAAAATGGACTTGCTTTTGTCAAGCAGTTGGAAAGAAACTCCAAATAAATGAAAGATGCTAAATAGTTATATGCTGGCTAACATGTAAGACATATCAACTTTTAAGGTGTTGTTTTCACAGCTTGTATGCAGTGCTAAAGTTGTTCAAATCACTTATTTTAGGTTTAAATCTGACTTGAATTCAAGTCCTAAGTCCTGTCTGCAGTTCTGGCTTTAACAGTATAATTAATGTGAAATAAACCAATCACATCAACTGCTATCTCCTTTGTTTTCATTGGGACAGTGATACGTTTAAAAAGCTACATGGCAGCAACTTAAAAACAAGTGTAAATCTACCATCGCACAGGCCAGCAATGCACATGTGGAAGAGCTTCGGGCCCTCGAGGTATGTTCAGTTTGTTTGGCTCAGTGTTGACAGTTTACCAGCAGCAGACCCAGTGTGACTAAGCTAATTATCTATTGCGTGACCCGTTGCAAGCTTGTTTTTTGCTCCACTTTCTCAGTGTGTGTATGTGTGTTTGTTCATGCAGGTATCCAGATGGTCCACAGACTGTGTGTGTGTGCATCCTATGCCAAGCTGCTGCAGCGTTCAGTTGGACAACTACTGAACTGAAACCATGTAGCTCTGCAGCCCTTCCTCATCTGGTGCCATGACTTTCAGCTTTCAACACACACATGCGAAGAGACGGCTCGCTCTGCTGGCTTCTAACACAAAACATAATTATCAGCAGGCTTAATTGGTCCCACTGGTGGTACTGAATAGCCGTGGCTGACAGACCGCGAGAGAACTTCAAACATTTAGATGATTCTGGTATCAATTTAGGGAAAAATTGTGTTTCTGTGTGGAAGGATGCGTGAGTAAGAGTGTGCTGGAATGTACGTGTACCAAGCTGATTAAGAAACTTCTTGTTGTAATCACAGGCCAGTGACTTTGTGATTAAAGACCAACTGACTGACATTGGTCATTAAATTTTCTCATGGAATGCTACGTAATTTCTTTCTTTCTTTTTACAAACTGTGGCATCCAAGGCCTTAATAAATATTTTTAACAATTCCAGTGAAGCAGAAACGAGGCTAATTTGAGAAGTGTATAAATAATCTTCAAAGGCCATTAGTCACTCTGATTACAATTGTGGGGATGACACAATGTAAAGAAATTTGGCAGCACTGAAGTATTCTAAGTATATGCAGCCAGCAGTAACGCTCATATGAATGTTCCTTTGGGCATTCCAGATTTCTGTGCTGGAAAGTTTTCTTGATCTGTTGACTTTGATGTAACTAATTTTCTCCCATGTGTCCATTGTTCCTTTGTGATGTTTCAGCCAAATACGTTCTTTAAACTATAATCATGGTGTAATAGATTTAGGCTTTTATTGCTTTTGGTATCTCTTTATAAAAACATACAGTGTTATTTTTCACTTGTACATTTGCTTAAGACAAGATTTATCAGTAATGCCACTTTAAGGAATATGTTGTTAGGCTTTAAAAAGTCTTTTTTGGCTGGATTATGTCCTCCTACTGCTGTGGGGACATTGTTAACATCACTGCCTATATGTGAAGATGAATGAACCCTCAGCGATATCACCTATATGTTTCCTGACAGGCTGTCCAGCTATCCCCATCTTGGCAGTGCCTGACTCATGGCAAATCCAAAAATTAGAGATTGAGCCTGAGAGCTTTTAGTATCCATCTGTCACTGAAAACAGTAACTCTCTAAATTATGCATCACTTTAAGTGTTAAAACAATTTCAATGGGTGAGTTGTGCAACAATCCACCCTTGTGCAGTTGTCATGAATGGGCAAATTAGTTCTAGAGATTACGGTTTTTTGTACCAGGCTGTAAACATTTTTGTTTCTGCTGTAAAAGGTGGACGTTTTAACATGGGGGTTTATGGGGACTGGCTCATCTTTGGAGTGAACCTCAAGTGGTCATTCTCAGAGCTGCAGTTTTTAACTCTTCTACATTGGTTTCATTTGTCGGCACTGAAGGTGGCTGCTTGGTTAAGACTCATGACCACTAATTAAAGGTAAATCTTGGTTTGTCTGTGTAGATTCTCAGTCATCCAAGTCATGGTAATTCTAGGAGTTTCTGTAGAAATCAGCTGGACTTCTCTTTCAGGTTGTTGTAAACGTTTCACCTCTCGTCCAAAAGGCTTCTTTGAGAGGTCTTCTTGATGAGTTAAAGAGCAAGATAAATTGCCAGAGAAGCTGAAGGAGGACATACAGTACACCATAACCTGACAAACATTTTGTTGTTAATAGTTTTCTCTCAATCTATTAAACATGAACAGTTTATTAACCATTTATATTCCTTAATACCTATGTATTCTGTTTCTGCATGGACATTTTGTGCAATGGTCTCATGGACATGGAGGGATGAAGAAATTAATGTCACAAGGACTCTAGGGGACTCTTGCCTACTCGCAGATGCAGGAAGTTTAACAGTGGCAGAAAAAGTTGTGTACACGAGAGGCAACAAAAAAGATCCAGTCACAATCATTAGCCTGCACTAGCATTGTGAAATACATTGAACGGCTGTAGTGAGTTGTCTTTACTTCACCCGTCTCTTGCCGTCTTTGCTTGTCTCCATTCCACTCTGGTAACTCTGTTTCTGTTGGACTGCTGCAGACTGTCATGGCTTTGTTAATGTTCCTGACCCACATGCAGAAGGACACTCAGGAGAAGAGGTTTTGAACAAAGAGGTTTATTCACAGAAAACAGGGAATGTGTAATGATGAGGGTTAATCCGGCTGGGACGTCGATGAGGGTCTGGTGGGTGGCTGGGCGGGCAGGCTGTGCGGTGGTCAGTGCAGTGGTGTTGAGTAGCTGGAGCGTACTGGTTGTGAGAAAAGTTTCCAGTGAGCACCGGAGATAGACTCAGGTTAGCACAGGTTGGTTGCGAATGAGCATCAGCGAGGAGCAGGTACTCGGGGGGGAAAAAAACTTTTCGGAGAGGGAAAAGACAGTTACTAGCATGCACTGGAAAAAAGCACAAGAAGTACTCTAGAGGAGGCTTGATGTGTACCACAATGGTTAACACTCAGGCAGTGAGTGATCGGTGAATGCTCCCTTTATCCCTGGAGTGACGAGTCTCACGAGCTGCAGGGAATGAGCCCCAGAGCGGCACGAGATCCCCTAGGGCGCCCTCTGGTGGATAACCCTATTCCCTGACACAAACTCCTGTGTGGAAACAGACACGCAAAGACTGGAGCGGAACAGACATGAGCCGAGCAGAGTCTCAAAACAGCAATAAAGATTCTATATCCATACAATATCCTCTAACTGAACTGTTTTTATGTTCAAAATCCTGCCTGTTGCACCTTTAATACACTGCTATACATCCAAACATATGCATCTTTGTATTCAGAGCTGAACAAGGTGTTTTATATAACGCTGCTGTGATGAGACTTTTTAACAGTGCAATCTATTTATTTAGTAGTACATGCCTGTCTTAAAATGCCTCACTGAGTGCAGGACAGGAAACAAAGGAACTGAAAGTCAAAGTTGCCAGACAGCTGCTGGAGCTGCCTCGTCAGCTGGATGGCCGGATGTGTGTGTGTCGGTGTGAGAATTACACCTGCTGTTAGTCTAACGCGCTGCTAGTCGGGGTGAGCAGGAGCAAGCTGAGAAGACTGCAAACTGGTGCCAGATAGGGATTATAGCTTTGACATGTGTGTTGCTGTGTGTGTGTGTGTGTGTGTTCATAGAAACCCTCTTCCTGCCTCACAGGCCAAGGCCAAAGATATTCAAGGTGCTCGCTCCACAATGTTCGTACATTTGTTAGCAATTAGCCTCGGCCACAAAACTGACTTTCAACAGCACACATGGACCCTCCCTGCCTCCCTCTCCCCTTCCCTTTCATTTTTTTTTTCATGCTGTCCCTTTTCAGTCCCTCCCTCATTTTCAACTTTCTTTGTTCCCCTCCCATATCTCTCTCTCTCTCTTTCTCTATTACCACTCTTCTTTCTTTTTTATCCCTCCTTGCTCCATTTCTCCCTCCCTCCCTCCCTCTCTAAAGTTGCACATGCTTTCTGTCTGAGGAGGTTTAACTTCTCAGGCTCTGGATGGGAGAGGGATGATACCAGGGAGCTGCAGGCAAACACAGAGCTCTGACCAGCTTCCTTCAGCAATGACAGAATTTGAAGAATATTTGCGATAATCTATATCATTTCTTAAGTTGCAGAAGGTTTTTTTTTTAAAAACCATATTGGATGTGGGCGACTCCTCTCCTTTGCTTGCTTTGCACCACTTTTTAAATCTGTGGAAATACGACTCCTGGGGACTTCTGGGCATACTTCTTTTTGGAGGTTTGGTGACAACAGGAACATGTTGCACGAATGAGCCAGTTGACACCTTAAAGGCAAACTGCTGACTACTTTTACTGTTCCTCAACGGTTGCTTTGTCTGGAGAAAAGGTGAAGACTGCAGCGTCAGGTTGAGCATCAGCAAACTGGACACGAACTTTTGCACAAGATTCTGCAGCCAGGAATCATGAAAGGTAAAAAGACTTTTATAAATGTCCTTCTTCCATCTACTTTCTACATCTATACTGTTTGAAAAAAGCATTTCTTCCCAGACTAAATGCATTCCCCAGTGTGAAAAAAAGCTGAAAATGTAGACAGCAGCAGTATTTGTCATGGTGGCATGCAGGCACCTGCACAGGGCACCAGTGACCACATATGCTTCTCATCAGCTCTGAATCTTGGCAGTGCAGATCCTGAGAAAGTGGGCGTTTGTTGTTGTTGGCCATGAGACTTTGATCAGTCAGCTTTAAATTTCTATATGTGTCTGCGTGCGTGCGTGCACCACAGCCCTGTTTCATAAAACATAAAATGTTCTCTGGCCCAGCCAATCTGCTGCAGATTGACTTAATATCCTCCTTAAAGGAGGACGAGTGAAAACATAAGAGTTGAATTTGAGCGTTTTCACAACATGGCATGAAAGGAGAGCTGCCAGTGGCTTTGAAGAGGGCAGGAGATCTTACATGGTTCCCAGACTTGCAGCATGAGAAGTGAAAGGCTGACAGAGATGGGAGGATATGGTGGGAAAGAGGGGGTAATAGAGCAGGAATGAGAGGGAGCAGGAAGAAATCCTCCCCGAAGGATTACCAGCTGAAAAAGATGCTATGAGGTGTTGACATATTCATTACTGATAGTAATTGGAAGACAGTGGCTTTCTTCCTGTTATTATAATTCTTCCTTTGCTTTTGATTATCGGCTTTTTTTAGAGGTGTTAGCCTGCAAATTCCCAGTTTGCTCTCTGTTCTCAGAGGCTATTTGTCAGTATGCAATTTAGGTTTAATGGCATTCAGATGCTGTAATGGTGCAACTTTAACTAATCATACCCTAATGCTGCATTCAAGGGATGTGAGAAAATTCTGACTTGGGAGCGTGCATTATCCCAAGTGGTTAGCCATTGTGTTAATGTTGTTCCTGTATCTAATAAATACCCTATATTAGCTTCTATTGTTGTGCCGTGTGTTTGAAGCAGCTTGTTACCAACAGAAATCAGGTATAAACAGGCTTTGATAAATTAGCTCAGTTGTGTGTATTTGTGTTAATATAACATCTGGGTTTTCTGTTTGTAGTTCTTTTCACCAAGAGGAAGAAACTATCAGTGTCAGAAATATCCATTAAGACAGAATTGCCTTTTTTTGCTCATAATTATGATTTAAATGATATGACATAAACACAATGTAAACCCATCCGACAAGCAGTAACTTTCCAATAGTTGTATAACCATTGCTACTGGTTAATGGATTTGGAGGATGTTAGAGGTGTGTGTGAACCTGACACCTGAGATGCTACCATACTGAGGTTAATGTAGCTTGTTCGTCAGTAAATGCCTCCAAAGTGTAGGGCTGCCTGTTTATTAACCCAAAATGTCTTGTTTTCCTCATCTACTTGTGTTTAATACAAAAGATGTAAGAGGTAGTTTGAGGGCAGTGTGTTACTGCTGTCACTGTTGACTAATTAGTAGGGAAACATAACTGGATTTCTAAAAGGTTATATGTAGGGAATGTCTTATTATTATTTCTTGTATAACTGCACATCATCAGGGAGTGCAATGAAGCACTGCAGCACTTGGCACATAATGGCCAATCCTAGTTACTAAAACTTCTGCAATCATCATGGGATGTACACCAGCCCAAAAGGCATTTTTTCCGACATGCAATTACAGTGCCTGCAAAAATGACTCTTTTGATCATAATTTGATTCATTCAGACAAATAGCACTGGGAAAATCTAGCTTTTATTGGCGTGGGTTACAGGAGGAACATGCTAACTAATAGTTCAGCTGAGAAGGATGCTAATGCTCACGCCTTGTGGGCCTGAAACTTCTGAAGCTTGTAGAACTTCTGAATATGGAGGATGCTTGGAAAATATGTCAACATCTGAGTAACTGTTGTGTGAATGAATTCCAAAACCCACTTTCCCTCTAAATTAAAGTACTTTCATGTAAATTAACTTACATAATTAATTTACTTTCCTACTTTAGGGGATTTGCACTGTATTTCGCACCATGCTGAAGTTTTAAATCAGGTGAAGAGGGACACAACCGTACCGACGGACATGGACTAGGCTACAGCAGTTAGCAAGATGTTGTAGAAAAACCCAGGAAGTGTCAATAAAACAGAGACACGCCCTTCAGAGGATGAACTACACTCTAAAAAAGAAAGTGACTGGCAGCGATGGCATATGTCATAAGCATGTGCCGACAGTGTTTGAGCAATTCCTGCAAGAAGGGGGAGAAAAGAGTTCTGCACTGCAGGTTTACAGCATCTGTGGCAGCACTGGCTGCCATGTGAGATAGACAAATGCATGCCTCTGCCACCTAGTGGTATCTACAGGTTGACAGGGAACTGTACTTTAGCGTAGGCTTTGCTGGTTTTAGGCTAAAAGTTAGTATTAACTGCATCAGTTCACTCATTATAATTTCACATTTGACTGCGAATTTACACCTTTATCAAGTTTGAATGTAGTTGTTAAATTAAATTAATTGCCACTTTCAGATTGGCTCAAAGAATCTTATCCAGGACTTATTTTTGTACTTATTTTTTCCCGAATAGGTAAGAAAAGAAAGAAAGAAAGAAAGAAAGAAAGAAAGAAAGAAAGAAATGAACCGGTAAATGTCAAATTGATTAAGTTTAATCTATATATTGACTGTCTTTGAGTTTGTGTCAAGATCTGACCTGTTACATTACAAATAGGGTGAAACTGAAGTATGCCTGTAAGCAGAAATATATAGAAATCCAGCCCAGCTCCAGGCAGCACACTGATACTTGGGCAGAGAAGCTGCACATGAACCACAGGACGACACAGCAAATTAACTCAAGAACATATACAGTACAGGACTCCTCTCAACCAAACAGTGCAGGAGGTCTGCTAATGTGGTTTCCAGCCCTGGGCGACCAGAACAAAACATGCTGCCTCATACATTCCTAACAGGGCGGGAGAGGAGGGGGGGGAGATGGGAGAGGTGGAAGGGAGAGAAGAGGGGAGGAGAGGAGACAGGTGTAGGGCTGGCAAACGGAAAGGAAAGACTGAGTGAAGGGGAGGCCCACAGAGAGACACATATTCCTGTTTTCAGTTCTGTTTTTGCAGCTTTATGAATTTACAGCAAAGGTTTCTTGAATGTAGACTGAAAGGAAACTGAATATCAGAATGTTTTATTAACTTTTCTTTCTTCATTTGCTTTTATTAGCTTGGATTCATAATGTAAATGTTTCTGCTGGACATTTTCTTGTTTTAACACCAACACTGGCAAAATGAAAATGTTGAATGTGCAGCCAATGGATCTTTACCTAAGATGTTAGCATTATTAGCAGTTAAAAAGTAGATTTTTTTTTCCTTTGATCTCTTATGTTACAAAAAATGGAAGAAATTGGAACGAACTTCTGCAAATTAGTTGTTTCTCACACTACTGCACATCTACTCATTACATTAAGATACTGAAAGTATCTTACAGCAAATTGCTAACAACTTGCTCCTTTGTGTGCCAATTTTGAGTCATGCCCAACTTTTGGTCTCTCAAATGTGCTTTACTTTGCTCTCAATCTGTCTAATTTGTTTCCATAATTCATAGATACAGCCTGCAGTTCAATTGTCAGATTTTTTGGTCATGTCAAAAATGGCTTCCCAGAAGTGCCAACTGGTCTGGTGTCAACATAACACATCAAACCTCCACTGTAATATTTCTTACATTTTCAGAGAACTGGAGTGACATCCATTAACTACTATTTGTTGCTATTTTGCCACACTCTGAGTTTATGTTGCTGTTGAAGCTGCTGGATCCAACGCCCTGATGGAAACAGAAAGGCTGACAGGGCTGGCTAGGAGGTCATTCCATGACCTGACAGAGTTCCTACTTTGAAAGCCACCTTACCTTTGCTCATCTGAAGTGTGTGCTTCTCTGGTGGGAGGAGTCAGGAGCAGAGAGGGACGAGCTGCATGAAGGGGGTATTTTTTTTGGTTTCCTTTTCCAGTTTTCTCCCTACTCCAGCTTTAAAATGTATTGTACACGCCCTTTGGCCTTGCCGCCCTGTAAATCTGACCGGGCTTGTCTCTGTGGCCTCGTCCCAGCTGTCCAAAGCCGTTTTGTCCTGAGAAAATGTGATGCATTTATGGGACCATGACTCTAAATATCTCTGGTTTCACTGCTGGACCACAATAAAAGAACATTCTCTTGTAATGGCTCTTCTATAACTTCAGCTTCGTAGTCTGCAGCAACACATACCAGACGTTTATAGTTTTGTGAGGAGACCACACATTCCAGTTAGAGGGCACCTAAATGGCTGGGATGTCAACAGTGGATTGGAAAAGGACTCATTTGGCTTCACGAGTTGTGGTCAAGCCCTCCACTCTGATCTGGAGCAGGGCCCATCCTCTGACTCTGGTTCCACTTAAGGCTTGGATTTGTTAAAGTTACTGAGGGAGATTTTCTGGTTAAAATAACATAAATTAACTAAAGAGAGAAAAGAAACATCAAAAGCATGACATGTTGAACTTATGCATTTTTATGTGGGACTGGCATCTCTATTTGCATACATCGCATCATAAAGTGAGTGATGTGGTGAGGTCAGAGGGCAGTTAGGGCCTGTTGCCACCAAGGATAACATTTTGCACAATCCCCTGGCGAAAGTGAAGTCCAGAGGGAGGGTGAAGCGAGGGAGAGGGTGGGGAAGGGGTTTGGAAAGTCCAAAACTTTGAGAGAAACCGCAGCACAGGAACCACAAACATGAATTGGTACTGGTGGTTAGCTGACTTGAGTACAGACCTGGCTCTGTCTTTACAAACACCAAAGGACCAATGGTAAGAAAGGATGCTGGAGACTCGATGTGAGTAAGGAGCAACATTATGATATTTACATTTTTATTTATTTTTTACATTTTGGGATTTAACAAGTTCGTATTTTTTGGCTGCTTTGCCTAACTCCATAAGGAAGCGATTAGAGAGAAATAAGAAATATTGAGATATTGCTAGCCTGAGTATTTTCACAG